AAATAAAATAAAATAAAATAAAATAAAATAAAATAAAATAATAAAATAAAATAAAATAAAATAAAATAAAATAATAAAATAAAATAAAATAAAAAGGTGTGTGCCATCCAGACTTGGCTTATTCACAAAGATAATAGCAATATATAATAGCAATATATATTTCTAGGCTACTCCATAACTTCCTAGCAGGAGGAATTATATTAATACTGTCAATGGAATCATTTAAAACTTTTAAAAAGAGAAACTGTTGAATTTCCTCTTTGCATGAACAGACGGATATTTTCAGAGAGATGACATGAGAGATTGTTAAGCCCTAATGACAGAACCACCACAATAACATCTGGTCTCTGGACTGGGCAGTTTAGAAGCAGCTCTACCCGTTATCCTAACTTCTGACTGGCATTTCTCTCTTGGGTTGATCTGAACACACGTGCCCAAAGTGTGATTTGCTGAAGAGACCGCGCCCCCCCTTTCCATCTCCATTATACCCCAGATCCTCCCAGCAATTAAAAGCGCCTGACAATGGGTGTTACCTGCTAAGCTAAGAGTAGCTTGCTCTAACCATTAACCAGCTGCTCTTCTTTCATACTTGCTGCATGAGAAAGCACGAGCACCCCAGACACAGCCAGGCCTTGAGGGACTTCTGGAACATCAAGAGAGATGGAGCTAACCTATTTGGGGGATGGAGGAAGGAGAGAGTAAATGCAGTGCAGCTAATACTGAGAACATCTAACTTCAGCTGGTGCTTCTTCTCTCGATGCTACGCAATCACGAAGTCTTAACCTCAATCGCTGAAAATATGGAGGTCAAGGGTTGCCATATTCTGAGCTGCAGTATGCAGGACAGCCAGCGGCTGGCAGCAAAGAGGCACAGAAAACTGGGCATCTTGTCGTCATCAGAACGTTCCTGATGCAGAGATGGCAGCCCTGGCACAGGCCCTCTTTGCTGGGAGCCACCACAACAAAAGGTTGCATCCCACACACTTTTTGCAATCTTGCTTCTTCCTGAACCCAGCTCCTCTGGCCGAACAACCATGGCGCTCACCTTTGCGTTTCAGGTAATTGAACTTTCAACATCAATTAGCTGAGATGTAAATAATGTACCTGCAGAATGCAGCAGTAATTATACACGTGCCAACACGAAAGCTACTGTTACCCCGGGAACAGCTGTGAGCCTCAGTTTTTAAAATTAATTCGGCTGGCCGGGAGCTAAAGGCAAAATCCCCTGCATTTTTCACACCTTTCAGTGGCATCCTCAGATGCGTTGCCGAGAAGCATTTTTCTCGCCACGGACTCCTCTTTCTCAAGGATTGTAAGGATTCCAGTTAAAGTTCATAATTCAATTCAGTACAAGGCTTTGTTGTTGTTGTTGTTGTCGTTGTTGTTTTTCAATTCCCAAGTACCCCAAGAATTCTGGGAGCTTTAAGTGGTGGTCCTTCAAGATCCAGCCAAGGCTGACCCTGCTTAGCTTCTGAGATATGTCAAGGCTGGCCGAGGGGTTCCCATCAGCCAGGCTCTATTCTCCAATATGGAGAAATACTTTTTTTTTTAAGCAGATCATCGTTTGGGCTATACCTGCCCATTGATTTTATAAGCCTAATTCTTTATCCTGCTCTATAGAGTAGAGAGTTGGTCTCTGACAGAAGGCCACCTGAAGAGACTAGAAGCATTTGAAATGTGGATTTACAGGCGGCTGTTACGTATAAGCTGGGTTGACAAGATCAGAAATGAGGAGGTGATAAACCGCCTGGGAAAGCCAAGGGAAATCATCAAAACAATTACAAAACGAAAGTTAGAATATTTCGGACATGTGATGCGACACCCAGAAAAATATGGCATACTCCACTGAATCCTCCAGGGAAAGATTGAAGGCAAACGAGGTCCAGGCAGAAGAAGAAGATCGTGGCTTCAAAATCTCAGGGACTGGTTTGGACAAAACTCAGCAGCACTTTTTTGTGCGGCTGCTGATAAAAACAGGATCGCCAACGTGATCGCCAACGTCCGATAACGGATATGGCACAAGAAGAAGATGAATTTTTTTATCAGTTTAAGTGGTTATCGCCCACCCACCCACACCTCCACTCTGGAAAAAGGACACAATTGCATCAAATGTGCAATGTACTGGTTGATTCATAAACGTGCAAAATTTAGACATGATTTCAATAATTTCAGTGGAAATTGTAGACATTGTACTCTGGTGGAGATAACTGTAGCTAGGTTTCAGCTTCCATCCTCCTTTTTTTTTAATCTTTGCACCAGACTTGGCCAGCCCAGCCCCTTAAATTATGTCAAATATTGTTTTTCTGAATGCAGGTCCAGCACAGAGAAACTCATAAAAGAAGGCAGAAGATTGTGATTCCTGCCAATTATGCAAGTGTGTGTTCTTTCTCCTTTTCCTTGTTTGCAGAGCAAGTCTACACACGTTTAATGCAGAAATTGAGTTCATGGGATTTAGTCCAAGTATGCAAAACTGTAGGAAGAAGCTATTCAGCTCCATTAGGGGCAGCGTCTTTTTCGTGGAAAATGAACCTTTTCTAATACATCCAGGTATGGTCTGGAGAGAGAGAGAGAGAGAGAGAGAGAGGTGTTTAAGAGCTGTGGTCCTTATTTTGTGCAATTGTTGGGGCTTCTGGGATTAATTAACTTGGCAGAAAGAGGCCATAATCCTGCTGAATATGTCAGATTCTGCTAGGAATTGCACTGATTAAATTTAAGCGAGGTAACCGCTCATTAAAAATGAAAATACCCAAGAAATTTAAGAGTAAGAAGAGACTTTTAAAGTTAACGAAAATTGTCTCCTCGGTCCATACTTTATCTGGCTCTAAATATAAGAGACTATTAGAATCCTTCCCTCCTCTGATGCATTTATTTTATTTACTTCCAGTTCGTCATCTGAGGGCCTCTTAAGGGAACACAAATATTTAGAAGCCGTTTTATGAATTTATTAGAAGCCGCAGAATCTGTTAAAGTGTGTGCTCTGAAGTGAGATGAAGGGGGGAAAAAACTCTCTGAATTTCTCATTTCCTCTTTTTGGCATCTGGAGGGGAAAAAAAACTTACCTCAGCAAGGGAGTCTGGGCAACTTTGCGACGGAGGGCAAGAACTGTCTGTCTTGGTTTGTTGGTCAGAATCGGCCAGTATCTGAGTCCCAAGTAGAAAATGGCTAATTATTAATAAAGGAACCCAAAGCAAGATTCAGTTTGGACCAAAGGGCTGTAGAAATGTAGCAGCTCATTTTGGTTCTTCAGGAAGTCTCTGGAACATGGGGCACACTCTACCCACTGAGACACACAGCCACCCAGGATGCAGGAATAGACTGGATGACCAAATACTTCCCATAAGTCCCCCCAAAATAACCACAAACTTTCTATAGGGGTCAAGCTGAAAGGTCTTGATCTAGTTTTTCTTTGATTTCCTAGTTTCTGAGAGACTGGAATGATTTCCATGGGGGCAACCAACCAATGGTCCTTCTTGATCTCTGAAATCCCAAGAAAGCTTGTTCACAAGATTCTTTGGAGCATGTTTTCATTTGAAATATTGCTTTATTTTGATTCCTGTTGTCAGCTTTATTGCCGTTTTTGTTATGAGCTCTTTTATTTCATGTTTTACTGATTTGCATGATCGTCTTTGCTACGTGTTCTGTGTCCACATCAGTGAGATCTTAGTGGATGGCCAAAGAAATCAAAATAATACATCCATGCCTCTGAGAACTCCACCTGAATCAGTCTTTGAGGCGGAGAAGTCCACCCACGTGAACTGAAGAGAACTAGAAGAAAGAGGTCAACCTTTGAAGTGTTCTACAGTGTGTTGGATATTTTTGTTGGAACCAATTTGACCTTGGTTGATCTAGGAAGCCATGGGAGGACAATTTGGTAAGTCAAGGGCTAGAGCTAAGAGAGAAATCCCCTCCTCCCAGATAAGATCATAGTAAACAACATTGTTTGGATGAAAACATCAGGGATCTCGAGTCCTAGTGGACAATCGCTTAGATATGAGCCAGCCGTGTGCTGCAGCTGCCAAAAAAGCCAACACAGTATTAGGCTGCATTAACAGAGGGATAGAATCTAGATCACGTGAAGTGTTAATACCATTTTACAATGCCTTGGTAAGGCCACACTTGGAATACTGCATCCAGTTTTGGTCACCACGATGTAAAAAAGATGTTGAGACTCTAGAAAGAGTACAGAGAAGAGCAACAAAGATGATGAGGGGACTAGAGGCTAAAGCATACAAGGAACGGCTGCTGGAATTGGGTATGTCTAGTGTAATGAAGAAAAGGACGAGGGGGGACATGATAGCAGTGTTCCAATACCTCAGGGGCTGCCACGAAGAGGGAGTCAAGCTATTCTCCAAAGCGTCTGAAGACGGGACAAGAAGCAACAGATGGAAACTAATCAAGGAGAGAAGCAACCTAGAACTAAGGAGAAACTTCCTGACAGTTAGAACAATTAACCAGTGGAACAACCTGCCTCCAGAAGTGGTGAATGCTCCAACACTGGAAATCTTTAAGAAGAGATTGGACAGCCATTTGTCTGAAATGGTATAGGATTTCCTGCCTGAGCAGGGGGTTGGACTAGATGACCTCCAAGGTCCCTCCCAACATCATGATGATGATGATGATGATGATGATGATGATGATGATGATGATGATGAACTGGCCAGATGGAATATATTTAATATTTTTCTTAGAAGAATGCTGATGAGTAGATTTTAGTAATCTATTATAATCTGTTTATTAAGCATGGATGCATTAAATCTAGCCTTCAGCCTGATAAACAGGGAAATGCTTCTGTCCATTAGCATGTTCAAGCATACTTTTATTTAATTAAATGAAACTTTAATAGTTTTGATGAAGAAGAATATGAGAAAATCAAATTTACCAGATAAATTCATAGATAGGACTTAGAAAAAGATGCTCATTAGATTTACATATTTCAAGATAGCAGACTGGAATTTAAAAAGCCAATATTTGTTCCTTTAAAAGTTGGAGAAACAACAACTGAGATTTTACAGATGTTCTTTCGGATCCATTCAGAAAGAACAGAGATTTGAGGTTTGTGTCCAAAAAAGAAAGATCAATTATAGTTTGGAAAGCAAATCCTTTCTATATCCAACAGAGAAGGCCAATAAAATAATTGAGCCATTAA